TGATGGCAAAGAATAGTAGAATGGCTAACTCTACCTCCTGGAAGCTTTGCTTGCCAGCATGGGATCTACAACAATGCAGTGCTTTCAATGTAGGGAGCATAATTGGAGTCTCGTATTCCAGGCTAGAAGACAGCCCGAGTCTCTGAGATGGCTGGAGAGGAGTATGTTTCCTAATCACCTAAAAAGAGGAACGGGAGTATCTTGAATATGATCTCACAGGGGTTTAAGCCTCAATAGAATTAAAATTGTCCTATTAACCTTTGCAGTACCATTGTGAACAAAGCAGCTGGCTTTTAGGGGTAAAGGGTGTTACTAATTAAAAACTTGTTGAAAGAATGAACGAGCGTACGTCAAGTATGAAACAATGGAGAGAAATGAACACCTGATCCCAGAAGGGACAATATACACATGATAGTAGGATATGGATCTACTACATGTAGCAATGTGCACGCAGACACATGCAGACATGTAAAAATATGTATGGTAGTAATAAATGAAGTAGGTAAGTATATATAGAAGAAGGATAATTGGCTTTTTCTATTGATCTGGAAGGCAGCTTGGACATTGGAAGATGATACAGGAGAAAATAACTAACTTGCTATTCAGTTCTTCCTCCTTATCTTTTCCTGGGACTTTTGTGTGGTCATTCCTGGAAACTCTTTTACATTGTCACAAGGCCATGGGAACTGGCTCAGCCATTGATGGCAATGATGTCACATTTATTGAGTCCTAAAGTGAAAAATTTAGCCCTTGGCCTCAATCTCAGGTATCCTGGGAAAAGTCCAGCAGCATCTGGGAGAACATTACTTATGTATTCAAGGGGAGAGGATTTAATGGTATATTTCACAAGCCTGATAAACATAAAGTTGATTTCTCTCTGTAAGAATATTAGCTTTTTTCTTTCACATTTCCCTTCTCCTTTTAGAGAAATTTTCATCAATAATACATCATCTGGGGGTACCAAATGTCCACTTAGAGGTCTTTTAATGAATATTTTTGGGAAAAAAGGGGCAACATTTTTAGCTGAGAATGCATGCATTAATTTTTATGAAGGGTTAACGGATTTTGTAGCTTTTTGGTAGATAAATGCCAGGTTTTTGGTAACTATTTAGTTTTTATCAGAAAAAAGCTTAAATAAAACAATAAATTTTGCGTATGGTTACACAACAAAATTTCTCAATATAAATTCCTAAAGAAAGGGACCTCCTCTGTGGTGCTAATTCTATTGAAAACATCTTTCTTCCAAACACTTACACAAACCAGTGATGCCCACAGTTAAACACTAAATTTATTATATGGTTTTAGGGGGTAGACAAACAAAATTCCCTGGCACCAAGAAAAAGGGACAGTATGATGCATAGACTAAAAGGTGGAAAAAGCAAAAGAATAGATATATCCAAATGGAACAAAAGGCACCATTAAATATTGAAACCATGCTTCTAAAAATTATCCAAGAAAGCTTTTTTAGACTCTTTTAAAATTGTGGAGAACATGCTGAAGTAAAAGAAATTTCCTAGAAATGTAGATAAGTAAAAAATAATTTGTTCTGATTGTTATAATTTATCTTCATCAGTATTGATTCAGTCAAAATGTATCCATCAAATATATTTTGAAAACTGCAAACTGTGTTATATATTAGGAATATAACAATGAACAAGACAGAAAAGATCTCACCAATATCAGAGTATTGTAAACAGGCAATTCTTTAACTAAGGAGAGTGTAGGGTTTTAAAACATTTCATTTACCCCCAACTATCTCTCCTTTCACTTGTCATACTGCAGATGAATCTTTTTGGATTGCCCAGTTTCCTATAAAGATTTAAATAAACATTTAAATATCCATTAATTCATTCATTTGCTCAAACAATTTTATTATTGTGTTTATTGATACCAGCAAGTACTCTGGGAGCTGGGAATCCAGGTGTGAAAGGTGTAATCCTTTGTCTTTAATGCGCTCCCGGCACAGGTGCAGGCAAAGCAAATAAGCAAATTACAACATGATCCAATAAGTGCTCTTGCTGGGATAACGGCCGGATGAAAATGGATATTCAGGACAGGGGTGCATAAAAGAGATGGTCGAGAAACCATGGAAAGACCCTCTAGTGAAATACATACAAATTGAATTTTAAAGTAGATTTAAAGTAGATTTAGGAGTTTGTGAGTTGAAGACGTGGTGGTCGGAGTGGAGTATCACAGTTGGGGAGAAAAGCATATTTGGTGGCGCTGAGGGAGTACAGTCCTCTGCTACTAGGCAAATGGGGGAAAAGAGTGAGGGTAGAAATAGGGTGCTAAGAATTTGAAACACCTCTGCCCTCACATGTCACAGCCTGTCTGTAGCCTGCAGTCCATCTTTTACCCTTAATGGATTGCCAACACTCTTTTTTCCCATCTGATTGTATCAGAGGGCCAACTGATCTTTGACAATGCAGACAAAATGTATGTTGGGAAAAGGATACAGTATCCAACAAACGGTGCTGGGAAAATTGGATAGCCACATGCAAAAGAATAAAACAGGACCCCTATCTTTCACTATATACAAAATCAATTCAAGATTGATTTAAAGACACAAATGTAAGGCATGACACCATAAGAATTCTAGAAGAAAACATAGGAAAAACTCTGCTAGACATAGGCCTAGGTGAAGAATTTATAACTAAGACCCCAAACAGCAACAACAAAAATAAATAAATGGGACTTAAATTGAAAAGCTTCTGCACATCAAAGGAAATAATCAACAGAGCAAATAGACAACCTACAGAATGGGAGAAAATATTTATAAACTATACATTTGACAAGGACTAATATCCAGAATCTACAAAGAACTCAAACAAATTAGCAAGGAAAAAAAAAAAAAAACAAACAATCCCATCAAAGAGTGGCCAAAAGACAAGAACAGAAACTTTTCAAAAGAAGACAAACAATGGCCAAGAAACATACAAAAAAAAAGGTCCACATTACTAATCAGTAGGGAAATACAAATTAAAACCACAATGAGATACCCCTTACCCTGTCAGAAAGGCCATTATTGAAAAGTCAAAATATCATATACTGGCATGGATGCAGTGAAATGGGAACACTTACACACCATTGGTGAGAATGCAAATTAGTACATCCATGGAAGACAGTATGGAGATTCCACAAAGAGCTAACGATTGACCTACCATTTAATCCAGTAAACCCCTATTGGGTATCTACCCAAAGGAAAAGAAGTCACATTATCAAAAATACACTTGCACTCGAATGTTTATCCCGGCACAATTCACAACTGCAAAGATATGGAATTAACTTAAGTGCCCATTAATTCACATACACACACACACATACACACACACACGCACACACACGCACACATTTTGTGGAATATAATTTTTACACGGACTGGGGAGTGGAGGCGAGGCAGTTTGGGGATGATTCAATGGATTAAATTTATTGTGAACTTTATTTCTATTATTATTACATTATAATATATAATGAAATAATTATACAGCTCACCATACTGCAGAATCTAATGCCACCACTGATCTGATAGGAGGCAGAGCTCAGGTGGTGATGCGAACAGCTGTAAATGCAAATGAAGCTTCACTGGCTCACCTGCCACTCACCTTCTGCTGTGTGGTCCAGTTCCTAACAGGCCACAGACAGATACCAGTCATGGAGTACTAATCAGCCATAAAAAGGAATGAAATAATATCTTTCACAGCAACTTGGATGTAACTGGAAACCATTTACCCTAAGTGAAGTATCTCAGGAATGGAAAAACAAATGCCACATGTTCTCACTAATATGTGAGAGATAAATGATGAGTACACTGGGTACAAAGAGACATAAAGGACATTGGAAACTAAGAGGGAGAGGGAAGAGGGGAGAGGGGGAGGCTTAAAAACTTACCTATTGAGTACAATGAACAATGTCTTGGTGACTGACAGGCACACTGAAAGTCCTGACTCTTCAGCATTATACAGTGTATTTATGTAACAAAAACATTTATATCCCCTTAATATTCTGAAATTTTAAAAAGTCCAGTGATTTTCCTGGAGTGTTGGAGAAAACCTTAGAAAATAATTCTAAATTTTATCTGCATAAAAATAATTAATTTTGAAAAAATAAGGGAGAGATATTTGCTCTCTCAAATAATAACACATATTAGAAGGTTTCTTCGGTATTGTATAATATAATCTTTTTGATGTCAATAACACATCTATATACATATGCATGTATATAGAGAGATGATGTGTGCATAAAGAGTTTACCAAAGGAAAAAGAAAGAAATTGAAACACTTAGGATAGAATTTCCTGGGAGTCAACGCATTACAATTTGCATTGTGCATTTATTTTGCCTAGAACTCCACAAACAACTCTGTGGACTTATAATGAATTATTGAATTTCCTTTAAGAAACTTGCAGTTGTATTAGCAACAAAAGCCAGTATGTACTATAGTATAGTAATGAAGCACTCCCAAATCATGGAAGAAGACTATGAGACAGTGCCATAACAGTGCCTCTTGGAAACTGATTGAACCCCATGAAATGTTGCTATTTTAAATGCCCTTCCATGATTCAACTGGCTAAGTTATCTGGTTCCATTGAATTCTTCCCCATCCTGCTCTCACTTCCGGCCTCAGCAGGTACATGGGGAAGTTAAAAAGGAAGAACTTTTCCAAGGACAATCAGTAAAATTAAGGAAGGCATTAAATTTGTCTTTGTTTTACCATTTTCAATCAATTTTTTAAGATACTGACTTCAGTGCCCAGAAAGAAAAATGAGTAAAGGTGTATTGCTATCTAACAAATCTTTCACATGCTTCTTCACAATATGTCTTTCAACGACTTGTAATGATTATGATCTTGCAGGCACTTCCCATAAGCTATCTATGCATTATTAATGAAGTTCTGTAACTGGAAACTTCTATCACTGCAATGATTCTTAAAAAGCATAGATTCATTCAAACTAACAATGCATAGGAGTTTGTCACAGTTTTAACATATGCATTCTTCTTACAGATGGTTGAAAAAGAAGGTTATCTTCAAAAAGCTAAAATTGCAGATGGAGGAAAGAAACTAAGGTAATAAAAAGTTCTTTAACCCACTTTTCTATAACTATGCTAGTTCCCGTATCCTCAACTTATGTTACTGCTATTGTTTGGGAAGCAAGGCCCTATGGTACCAGACTAGAATTCCTCTGCTACCACTACAATCAACATTATTTTAATATAGTTGTAGTTTTCAAAGAAAGGTACTACATTCTATGTCATTGCATAGAACATACATCAATGAAATGCTTCTTGTCTTTCTGGGGCATGAAACCTTTAACACAATGAAAAGAAATAAGGCAATGAATCTTAATTTCTAGGATTAACAGATTTGGGGATGAATGGACTTATTATTTGCATTATAGAAAAATTTCCCAGCCAGACACGGTGGCTCACTCCTGTAATCCTAGCACTTTGGGAGGCAGAGATGGGAGGACTGCTTGAGGCCAGGAGTTCAAGACCGGCCTTAGCAATAGTGAGACCCCATCTCCACAAAAAAATAGAAAAATAAGCTGAGCGTGGTGGTATGCACCTGTAGTTTCAGCTACTCTGGAAGCTGAGGTAGGAGGATTGCTTGAGCCTAAGAGTTCGAGGCTGCAGTGAGCTATGAGCTATAATGAGGTCACTACACTCCAACCTCTGCAACAGAACAAGACTCTGTCTCAAAAAAAAAAAACAAAAAAAAAAACAAAGAAAAACAGAAAAATAATCCCTACAGTACATTGGGAGAATAATTTTTTTAAGGATCGAAGATTTGAACTACGCTTGTAGCTTAAAATAGAAATGGTGAAAATAAAAAATAAAATCATGAACTTAAGTGAGGGAAATTTGAAAAGAGAATAAACTCTTCATACAACAACAAAAAACCTTGAAGAAAAAATTGGATTATGTTGATAGGAGGATTGGGAAAGATGATAGTTATGTTGTCTATATATGGAATACTTGGAAGTAATCATTTCCATTTTAGAATTTTTGCTATTTGTCACATTGATCCTATTACGTACTGAGCTTTGTGCTAGGTGATATGCAAGCTACAAAGTATGTAGAAAATGCTCACATTGGGATGTGAGGCATTTACTCATGACTGTTTTGCTAACAGTTAAAAACATATAGGATAAATGTACTAATTAGCTACACAATAGCGCACCTGTTTGTTGTATAATGCAATTCATTAGAGTTGCACCAGAATGACACTCTGGCTAGCGCTAGATAATAAAGTATGCTTTTGTTTGATGGCTAGGATGGATTATTTGTATATTTCTTTAAAAGAAAATTGGGAGGGGATCATCCACAATTCCACTACTTAAAATAGTTCTTTTAATTTTAAATAACAAGCTCTGTTTTCTGCCCATATTGGCTTATTCTGGGATAGTGAACGGGGCCTTGAATCTTCTCCTGGACTGTTTTTCTGTAGTGGCTCTGCAGCCAGCCTCCCTTGAAGGGTACGGGAGACAGATGCACAGGAGACAAGATCAAATGCAAGGCTGCTTAAAAGTATTTGCATTCCACAAATTGGTATTGCAGTGGAGCATCACTTTATCTATTTAGAGTCATTCAGATTCTACACTCTGAGAACTGCCTGTTTATAAATCTTGACTATTTTCTATTGAGTTTCTTGCTTTTTTTTTTTTTAAATAATTTGAGGGAAATCCTGATATATTTGAGATAATACTTTGTCAAAGTTGGATGTTGGAAATATCTCCTACAGGTTTGTTTTGTTTTTATTGTAAAAACTTTACATACTGAATATTGACTGTATAGTCAGCATGATTAATAACACCCTATCCCACCATGTTGATGGACTATAATATGCCAAATCATCTCTACTTTTCTTTCTTATTTGATTTTTAAGTTGACTTCAGTTTCATACTAAATGAATTATAATTACAGCAACCCTCCTACTGTGTTTGTCCATTCTTATTTTATATTTTCTAAAGAGAAATGCTAAACCTGGATTACTTGATCAAATTACATGACCGTTTTTTTATGACTCTCACCACATGTTGCCGTATTGCTTGCCCAAGGAGTCTGTACACTTTTATTACTAGCAACAAAAGTGGTCAGTTTACTTATAACTTTGAAAAATTGTGTAGTTTTTATTGTATTGATAATTTAATAAGTAATAAATAATATACCATACTTCCTATCATTTGTATTTCTTCCATAAAATTTCTTTTGATAGCCTTTATACCATTTATCAAGGATCTTTCTAGCTTTTTATAAATTTTAATGAGTTAAGAAGCAATATTAATAGATGCTTACTCTGTCAAGAACTTGGCTAAATGCTTTACCAGTAATACTTAAGTAATACCATGATATAATATTTATTACTGCTTCCTATTGTACGAATGAAGAAACTTGGTCACCTGTACTAACCTCTCCTTTCTCCCAAATCCTACTGTATGTAGAGTTAGTATCACAGAATTTAGTCCTGTCTTCTGTTTAAAACATGTTTGTTTGTTTGTTTTTTTATGTCTTTTGCTTTAAGTTGTTTGAGGTCAAGGACCAAAAATTATCTTTTTATTTCACGACATCTACAGTACCAAGGACTCCAATTGTCACTTGATATATATCATGTTGTTAATTTCTGTAAAGTTTTCTACTCATCAATCCATTCTAGGTCATCGATACTTTGTATTGTTTTCTTATTTTCCTTCTTCCTCCTTCTTTTCTTTTTTATTTGTATTTAATTCTCTCTTTTGTGTATTTTCTCTTTCTCTCTAAGTTTGACCTATCCCAAAATGTGAACAGGGGAGCTTAAAAGGAAGAACTTAATGGCTGTATCTTACATTCCTAAAAGATCATACATTTAGGCTTATTTTGAAATTTTGAAATGAGGTTATACACATTTCTCTAGTGACACACTGACAGACATGAAAGTAGAATACATTCAGCATTCAACTTGAAATTTAATTTTGAACATTGAAAATATTCCTCAGCTTTTCTGATTAAGCTTGGGAGTTTCTTCATTTAAGGAATTCCATCCCCAAAACTGTAAGTAGTTCTGACCTCTCTGAAACTCTATGAGGCCCTAGTAAGGTTAATTTCAATGTTTAAATTCACCTGACAGCACGTTTATGTTATTTCAACACCCTCGTGATAGTCTCTCCCTCTGTACCCAGTCCTTCAACTTGGCCGGCTCCCTTGTGTCTTGTACTTCTTATCACATATAGATTCTCAATCTGCTCTTCCCTTCAGATGAGCATGAAAAGAAATACTTGGGGATGAGAATAGAGACAGAAGATGCATGTGAAAAGACATGCAGAAGAGAGTAGTGCAGTGGTTATGTCCACTAGTGCCTGCTTTCCTCCTAAACCTTGATTGTCCAAACAATTGTTATTCAGAATGAAATTCCCTTTAGAACACAATGTTAAGATGCCTTCCTAATGCGAACGTACCTTTTCTTTAGTATTGTCTGCTCAGTATCACAATAAATTCTCCCAGGCTGAATCTGTCTTTCTCTATTTTCTTGCAACACTGACAGAGACGTGTGTCCTTTATACCTCAGTGTCTCTTTAACCTACCTTTCAGCAGTCGTAAATTATAAGAAGCTTAGAATATGAGAGAGAAAAAAATAAGTTCCTAGACCTGTTCTCAGTTTGAGAACAAGTGTGAACATTTAGTGGTGTCTGAGTGATTTTTCAGTAAATCGGTCAGAGACAACAACAGTAAATCACTTCCACTCCCATCACGGGTGCAGACTCAAGTCAAATCCAGCGTGACCAAGCCAGGTAGCAAAGACAGATGGCCCGAATAAGAGAGGCTAAAATTTGTGAAGTAATCTCAGGTATATTTTCCTCTGGCTTTTTGATTTGTCACTGTGTCATTACCTCAGAAGGCATAAGAGAAGTAAGTGTAGGATACAAAGCTTGGGTGTTTAGAGCAAACAATTGTGTTAAGCCTAGAGCCCAAGCTAACAAATTTTTATAATGGTAATGAATATTTTAAGAACCATTTTCCATCAAGCATTCTCTAGATAAACTGTTACAATCAAAGTTGCTGTTATTATGTGCTGCCATCCGGTGTTCATTTTGTAGAATGTCAAGCTGATGTCCATGTTAAGTTTTTTGTTGTTGTTTTTGGGGTGTTTTTAATGTTGGTTTGTTTTTAGTTTTGTTTGTGTGGACTCTTTTTTCCTTTTCCTTTTCCTTTCCTTTTCTTTTTTTTTTTCTTTTTTCGTTTTCCAGCTTCACAACTCAGGATATATTTTTAGGACAGTTTTGTGAAGTGTTTCACTTGGATAAAATGCCCCACCAATTGCATAAATTGTACATACTTTCCCTTACACAAATTTAGTTCTCCCTCCTTCCCAATTGTAGTTGATACCTTTTCTCTCCTTAGATGTGATTTGATCTGTGTGTTAAAAAAAATACAATAAAATAAAAACCTACATTTCTTGTCCCAGGACCTTTTTGCTGCACTGAGTCACTAGGATTAATCTTTTACCTGATCGTTACTTATAAATCTACGTGGAGACCAGTGATTGCCTCACTTATTCCTGTGATTTCAGACTTACTAAAGTGAAAGTTAGATATTTCTTGAGCTGTGTTTCTTATTCAGTCCTATGTCTACCCAACAGCCTGGTTTTTATCCCTGTGCGTGGAAAAAATGAAAACAATGCTCTGCGAGTTATGATGAAGCGTGTGGGGAACTGACTGGCTGATGGGAGAGGTTCACAGCTGACCACCATGGTAGGGAGAGCAGGCAGAGATGGAAGGGCACGAGGTTCAGCATCGTGAGACAGTCCAGCTCAGGCTCAGAGTGGCTTTGCTCTGAGGAAAAAGAAGTTCTTGTACCTCTATGACCACAGTTCTGTGTCTCCCTCTCTTAGCTCCTACTGTAAGCTCTGCAATGACATGTCGAGCATAACTAAAGGGATGGCTGCACGCCCCCTGCTCTAGAGACCATTGAGAGGTTGGAATGAGCATGGGCTTCAAGTCCAGGAGACTTGGTCTAAATCCCATCTTTATGATTTGTTTTCCCTTGGTTAGGATGCAGCTTCACTAAGCTTCGGTTTTCTCATCTGTGAGATGGGGGTAAAGCCCACCTACTAGAGTTATATAGCAGATTTATGGTTTCTATGTTTATTTACCATCTTCCTGCAGTTAGAGGTAAAATTTTTGAGATATCTCAAATCTTCCTTTATATATTAAGCCCTTAGAATTGTGCTTGGCATGTGGTAAATGTTCAAAAGATACTTATGACTGGCTTAGTGATTAAGTTACATGATGCATGTAAAATACCAAGTGGCATGCTTGGTACAGCATGGAGTCCAATGCAAGTTCATAATATTGACATAGGTATGAGAAGTCAGGAAGATCCTTGGAGGAAGCTCAGGTATCAGCCACTAGAATCATAAATTGGACAAAAAATTTCCTAAATTTGAAGTGTTAGATAATCAAGAAACAAAAGAATGCTAACAGTGCTATATCAAAACAGTAGGGAAATAAGGAACATAGAAGGACATGTGACTTTTTAGTCTTTGTTGGTAAACAATAGTAAACAGAGCAGGAAAAATCTAGATGTGTGACCCTTTTGAAATTTTAAAACCCATCTATGCTTTTACTCAAAACACCCTTAATGATCACCTACTGAATGTCAGATACTGTGTCCCAGTCTGGAAAAGCTCTAAGAGGCTAGAGATGGTAGCCATCTCTTTTGGAGAGCAGGAGGGTTGGGATTAAAGGGTATTTTTATTCTGAAAACTGCTTCATCCTAGGAAGGCCTATTTGAAAAGTTTTATCAGAAATCGCTAGACTCACCTGTCCTGTCTAAGTCCTTTAAGCTTGCAGGAGTTACCCACTTCCTGAGGCGTCCCACCCAATACACTGAATGGCAGTCATCTGTAGTGATTTGGTTGCCTATGGGAAACATTAAAGGATTAAATCAGGGCAAAACTTTGCCAACTGGTTCTTTTCATACTCTCTCCAGAGCAGACAATATCTTATAAGAGGCTCACTAGGTTAGGGTAACTGGGTGAGAAGACTGTTCTACCCATATCCTAAGAACTATGGCAACACCATGAGTCAAACACATCAGAATGAGGAATGAGGAATGGACTAGACAGATATATTGTAAAGACAATGATCAAGTTTCTAGAGTAATTTGTCAGAGAGGAAGGGCCAGACCTAGTCTAGGTTAAAAGTTGTTCCCATTAGGTGAAGTCTCAGTGACTCCCTTACTAGAGGCTCTTGACTCCCTCTCTGGTTTTATGTTCCCTACTGAGTACAGATGAGTTTGCTAATCACAGACCAGAATAATCTCTAGCAGGAAGGAGACAGATGTGCCACCCCGTTAGGAAAACACACCTGCTTCTGATCTCTCATAAGGAGTTGAATGGTACATTATCCTACTCCTTCCAAAAAGTGAAACTGCTAATAGAAGAGAGCTCGGGAGTGACGAATCTTTGCCCAATATTTCTAACAAGGATCAGGTACGTTATTAATAGTTAATAACAGAGCTCAGATGGCTGATTATGTTGTCATAGGCTATGCACACTATCTTTTATAATTTAAAGATTTCAACCAAAACTGTGTTGAAATCTGATATTGATAATATCTTTAACTAAGGTAGTACTACCTAATCCTTAAAAAAAGATGGATTAAAGTAATGATCGGATTATAGTTTCTGGAGTCACAGAATCTGGCTTTAAATATATAAATCTAAATGTATGACCTTAAGTCAGTTACCTAAACTCTCTGAGTCTCATTTTACATATTAGTAAGTGGAGACATTAGTAACTTCATCATTTTTGTGTGTGTGAAGCTAAACCTACGCTGGACAATCAAATTTATACTAGGTACTCAAAATAATTTATGCTAATTATTATTGTAGAAGAAATCATGGGGAAAATTGAAATGAAACAAGAATGCCTAAAAGGTTGTCAGCAGCATTTTATTCTTCATTTTGAAATGAAATTCTTTTCAAGCAATAGATTTAAATCCTTTCACTTTTATTCTAATATGATAAAGACAGTGTTTATAATTTATAAACTCAAAAAGAAACAGCACTGTATGTAAGGTGGCAAAGCTGTTCATGTTACTGAGATTTCAAGACCTGTAGTTCTTACCCTCTGCAGCTAATTCTTCTGATTTACCTAACAAGGACACAGTTCACAGAAGTTCAAAGTCCTAATGATGAGATAATTGAATTTCATGCAACTTCAGTTCTAACCAGTTCCAGTTCCATCTTTAAGGAAGGGGAACGTTTTGCCAGAAAGTTCTATAAATGATCCACATCTGAAACAGATTCAAATCAGAACCATTTATCCAGGACTTACTATAGATAGGACGCAAATAAGGTATAGTAGCTCCTTGCCAGAAAAAGAAAAATATAGTGGGAAATATATCAGGCAGGTTAAATATGGGTTTGTCATGTGTGAGGGCGTTCCATACTCCCTGATCACATATGGTCAAAATAAAGATGCTGATACAAGATGCCCAGACTAGACCAGCAGTCCTTCTGATGTTTCTCTTTTTCCTGTTTGGGGCCATCTAATATTACGACCTGTATAATGAGAAGGCTATGGCTGCTTCAATTCACCTTGCTGCTGCTGGTACTTAAAAGGAGAAATGGGCATGAAGGCACAAGAAGACGCCTATGTGGTTTTCTTTCTGGATTTTTTTCCCCATCTTTTCTTCATTTAATTGAAAAATTGACTCTTCATTTAAAGACGAGTGGGTCCAAGAACATAATGTTTGTATTTGCAAGTTGGAAAATACACATCGTTTGTTTCTTGTGTGTCTGTTTATTCTGTTCTTTTTTAACACAATGGTGTATCATTAAGAAAGCTTCAGGCATGTAAGAACAACCTAATTCTTTTTGTAAATATTACCCTTACTGAATCAAAGCTGTCCTTTCGATCAAGATCCTAGATTCTAAGAGGCAAATGGAAATAAATTACACAAAGTTCTTGAATAGTCATTTAGAAAATATTTTTGTTTGTCTTCTATTGACCTGAATGAAATCTTTCTGTAAACTTTTTAAAAACTGAATTCAGCTATTTTAAAATGAGTGTTAAGCCAAAGCAAATTGCAGCAATCTATATATTAATCTCCTTAATGTTTCTACCATCTAAAAAAAGAGTACTTTTCATGACATGAGCACATACATATTCTAACAACAGAAGTAATGTGTGCTTAATGCAGAAAATTTGCTAAACACCAAGAAATACAAAGAAAAATCGTAAGCCACGATTTTACCACCTGATTTAACTATTAATATATTCAGACTTTTTTCCATGCCAAAGTGCAACTAGTTTCTCAATAAATATATATTGTGTGTCTGTTCTGTCCAAGGCACTGTGCGAGGCACTAGCACTGGGAATATCTATGTTATAGGTGAAATTATTTCTATCAATTCAGAGCTTATTTTTTAATGAGGGAGATAGATGTGAAATTTACAAAAACTATTTTTAAATTTATTGTAAGTGGTATATGAGGAATTCATGGAGGCACATTTGAGGAAACAACATTTTGATTTACACTGAAGGGAATTAATAATCAGAAGGATCTGGGATGGGTGAAGACAGCCCTAAGTAAATAGCACAGTATGGAGTTATGAATTACAGATTGTGTTATAGTCCGCATTAAAATTTTCTCACATCAGTATTCTTCTACAGCATCGGATTCATCATTCCATCATTCCATCAATCTATCATATGCAATTTACTTAACCAATCTCTTATTTTTTTAATACTTTAGGTACAGAATTAACAAATAATGATGTACTTCATTGCTATACACACAGACTTAACAACGTGTGAGATATATTTCTTTAGAATAAATTCAAAGTCATAGGAATGTACATGGTTAGCCAAATGATATACACATTTTTAAAGATTGTTTATAAAAACATATTGCCAAATTGCACTCCAGAAAGGATGTACCAGTTTACACTCCCATCAATAGAGTACCAGAGGGTCCATTTCCTACACCCTCATGAGCCCTAGATATTATCATTCCTTTTAATCCTTGACAATTTGATGGGCAAAGAGGGAAAAAGCACGTCACTGTTTTTATTTGCATTTCCTTGATTTTTAGTGAGATTCAACATTATAAAAATATTTTGAATTAAGCAATGACACAGGAGCTGGTTAGTTTTTCAGGCTCTGAAATATGCTAAACCAATGGAGAGAAGACACAATGAAGGAAAATATTCTGATTTCTATTTTTACTTTGCTATTTTTGGTTTGCTGTGGAAATATAGACTTTTTTATGAGAGGAAGGGACATGGATACAGAAAAATTGGAATTTTAGTAGTTGAAAAAGATTTTAGGAGGAGCTATAAATTGAGAAATTTTTACTATAAAGGCCATGCTTTTAAATAATTACAGAATGTCTTTATTATTACCTAAATCCCATACCACCTATAGATTTTAATAAAGAGAAGACTTTTAGGAAGACTAGTTAAAAATAAAGATGGTCTCTACTCATTCCAAATGTTGCTCATACTATATCGATAAATGATTTCTTCAATTGATAATGTTTTTTTCCTTTCTGTTTTTTCCTAAGGAAAAACTGGTCTACTTCCTGGATTGTTCTTTCTAGTCAAAAAATTGAATTTTACAAAGAATCCAAACAACAGGCTCTGTCCAATGTGGCAAGTATTTCTCTATTTCTATTGTTAATCATCTTTTCTAAAATATTATTTAATTAAAAGTTTGGTTTTTTCAGAAATCACACTAAAACCTCCAAGCTACCAACATCTGAAGGCAAACGGAGGAAATGACTCAATAAACTTTCAATCAGATGAAAGGAAAATAGAACTTAGTGTCTGTTTTATTAAGTGGTGCATTTGGAGAATAATCACAAAATGAGATGAATGGTGAGCAGCTATCTGGTAATGTGAAGGTAACACTTTAAATTAAGGTGTCATTTATAAATATTTTATTCTTATTTATGAAATGATCACTCAACGTAGCTACTTGCTCAAATAATGTATTATAAAGTGTGTTATAAAATGCACTGGTAATAAATGCTTAACGGATGATACCATGGGAAGCTGTTTTAAAGAATAAGACGTAAATCGTATTAAACCATGTATGTGCATCTTTAATACATGAATTTAAGTTGTTATCTAGCACGCTATAAAGTGCTTCAGACATTAATAAATAATAATAAACTGTTTATACATGGCACCTTAATATAGGGTGCTACCAATGAGGAAACACTCTAAGTTAACAAAGTGATTTTTTTTCTTAGTCTAACTGTGACATTCACTATATCCAGCTAACCTTTCCAAATATTTCTATGACTCCATCTAATAGAGCTAATATAATTTCTGTATCCTGTAGTTATTACAAAGTGAAATTTGTAGGGTTTCTTCATTGTACCTGGAGGAGGGCCTCACGTATGCCTACAGAGATTTCACAATGATATCCAGCAAGCAGGAGCAATTCAGAGCTATTTACTTGGGGCAATTCAGGCTCAAAACCTTGCTGCCCAAACACGAGAGAGCTGCCACAAGATGTAGAAGACAGCGGGCAGGCAACGTATCTGACAGCCTCCTGATTAGGAAGGACTTCAGGCAGGAACCAACCTGCCATAGCCCATCTGCCTGATGGACAACAAGGAAAGGGGTCGCCTGGCAGGAGCTAACCACAATGCACTAATTTATATTTGGCAGGTAATAAAACGATGGAAAGTTCTTTGCTCTCCAGCCACAAGTCGTGTTTGCAATGTAATCCTCTTTAAATAGGAAATAGAAAATCATTTTCTAGAAGATGTTTTTTTTAAAGAAGATTTCAGCAAGAACAAAAGGTAGCATTTGGCTTGCTTCTGATAATTGCAATAGCCTTTATCCCCAAGTGGCTTGCTGATTTTGGAGTCTCCATACAGTCCAATCAGTAAACTAATTATGAATAAATTAAAAATATATCTCAGTCCTTTGTATTTTTAATTTAAACTGCCAGAGAAATTTGTTTTAGCATTTTGTTTTGTTTCTTTATTTTTGGTTACAGGAAGGTTGAGATAATCTTTTTAAGAAAAATAAAGTACCCCTAAGGGCCAGGCACAAAACAACTCCCATCCACTTGCAGGTCCTTTGTCTTCCCTTTGAATGAGTTCTAAGAGGAGAGGGAGTCAGGAAGGGAAAAAGTCGCTGGCCTTGCTGAGTTTGGCTGCTGAGAAGATGATCTTCATCCTGCTGAGTGAGAAGAATTCCACTGGGAGGAGAGTTTATGCGAATGTGTGGGATAATGGGAGAGATTAGATTCCATAGTAAAGCATTTGGTTTATTTTTATTTTATTATTTTAATCTCTTCCTGCCAGGAGATATAATTATCAGCTGTTTAATTTTATACAGGTGAAAGAAAACTCCCTTTTAGATTGTAGGCAAACCCTGTGAGTTAGCTTACTAATTGTATGCCTGTAGTTCAACCTTCAGATTTGTTGTAAATTGACAATAGACTTGACTTGTAGAAGAAATTGGTTAACATTTTTTTTTTTTTCCTGTAGTCCTTATTTATTACTTCTGGCTCTATTTTCAATGCTCTTCTGGTTTCTGCAAGGCACTCATTGTCTTCAAAGTGAATTCGGGGCAGGAACTAACTGTGTTTTGTGGTAATGGGGAAGAGAATTACAGATTCCTGTTTGTACTGCATGAATTGTCTTGCTAGTCAACTTCTTGGATTCATTTCTAACCAAGTATTAAAGGCCTAGTGGGATAGCCCACATTACCAGTTCCAGTCTCAGAGAAATGATACGATGATTGCCAGGCCTTGATTAAAGATGCTGTGGTTTTATTTTGAAGGAGATTTATGTTCAAGTTTCTGAATTTTTCTTGCACCCCCCTTAGACGTGTCCTGGTGTTGTTCATTGTGCTTCTGGGAAAGTCTGTCCTTTCCTCCAAGGGGTCAATAGAAGTTGCCTGAGTGAGTGCAGAATGTGATTTAAAGGAGTAAATGGTGCTTTAATCTTTAAACAAATGATCTTTGAATGTTAATGCTGTGGTGAGACAAAGCAGCAAAGTAGCTGGAGCAGAGTTCTGAAGTTGGACCACAGGGGATAGAATTCTATTTTTGCCACTTAGTAGCTGACAAAGTTTGCTCATTTCTTCGAGCTTCAGAACCCTCACCTATAAAATGAGAATAGTGACATCTGACAACAGAAAAAATAAGGAATGAAATTAAGTAATAAAAACAAAAAATATATAATGGCTGTAAAATAATTATACTGTATTAAAACATACTCTATTAAAATATATAAATATATTCTATAGCATATGATATATAATATAGTATAATTATACCATATTATTGGCCTATATTAGTTTTTCACTTGAACTGATTCAGACATTTCTAGAAGAGAGACTATATTAATTAAAGGAACTCCATCATGCATGGCCTCCAAAAACAGAACTGTGTATCAATAAGCAGCATAAAATGTTGCATGCGAGCACTGACTGACACTAACAATGAAGCCATCCATCCATCTGGGGCTCTAGATATAACCTCCTGCATGTCTGTATGAAGTTTCCCAGAGCCCTTATCTTCCTTCCCTTGGCTCTTACCCTAACTGTTTTCACATTTAATATAGCATGTTGCAAAGTGATCCCACATTCCATGTTTGGCTCCCTTTCTTTCAGAATGAAGTTTTTTCAGTTCATGTCTGTCTTATTCACTTACAGCTTCTATAAAAGAATACCAGCGACTGGGTGGCTTAAACAACAGACATTTATTTCTCACAGTTTTGGGGGCTGGGAAGTCCAAGCTCAAGACACCTAGCAAATCTGGTGTCTGGTGAGGGCCTGCTTCCTGGTTTGTGTTTGGCCATGTTCTCATCGTATCCTCACAGGGCAGAGAGCAGAAGGTAAGAGAGCAAACTTTTGTGTCTCTTCATATAAGGACACTAATTCCATTTATGACCTAATTACCTCCCAAAGGACTCACCTTCTAATATCATCACATTGAGGTTTCGAATTTCAACATGTGAATCTTAGAGGAAGACAAACATTCATTCCACAACAATATTCAAGTCACATTTTTATCAGAAGCAGCCTTCCCCTGAAAATAAGCACAGAATCAAGTCACTGGTGTGTGTAGATTAGAGATTCATAAGCTCTAGTTCCTCAGTGACTTATTTAAACAGAAGGCAGACTGCCCTATTCTGAAGGACATTAAATAGTAACTGACCACCTTATAATCATTATCATTTTATACCAGAGAAGACATTATAAAATACCCAATCTAAAATCTAGGAAGGGTAAAATCTCAGAATAAAGACATTATTTATCAAGAGATGAAACTGACCCCTTATACATCTACATATGTGGTCTCTGTTTTGCTCATTTCACCTCAAATTAGGGCAAGTGTGATCCAGACTGGCTAGGCCTCCAGGGAAGAAGAACATTTGAAAACTGCTGGTGTCCCTAGATCTGGATTTCCTAGATTATAGAGGAAAGGATAGTGCTCATATTCTCATAGGTTTTCTTTTATAGCTATATATATATATATATATATGTATATATATATAATACATTTAATATATATTCTGATCTGTAACTCATTTTAAAATTTTAAAATAGATGCTATAAAATAATGCAGAAACCATTTTTAGTAAAATGTATAAAACACCTATGTAAATGTTAATACTTATTAATCAATTACCTGCATAAGCACCACCCTGTCAGGCTTCTAGAAGCCCCACCCCTATCATTTGTCCCTTTGCCATCACAATCTCTTCCCTTCCTCCGGAGTTAGACACTAACCTGCATTTTAGCCCTTATTTTATTGTTTTTTTCATTATTTTACCACCTATATCTGTATCCCTTAAAAATATAGTCTGTTTTTGGATTTATATAAATGGAATCACAGTGTGTGTTTCTTTCTTCCTTTGCTAAGTATGTCTTGCTTTTTCTGTCCTTCACTACTTTATCATTCCATGTTTTTCTCTACTAGTTTAGGAGGGACACACTTTGTTTCTCTCTAGTTAATAGTTAGCCTAGGATTACAACATTGGCACATACCAAAGACTAAAGCTAGTAAAATCCTTTACTCTCTTCTGAGATATTACTTTACAATATTTTTAATCCATGTATTCCCTTCCCAATGTATATGTTATTGCTGTCTGGTATTTTAATTTTTTTAACACCACTAGATATTATTCTCTTTTCTACAGTCAATGTTGGTTTATATTTGCTCAATTATTTGCAGTGTTCTTTGCTGTTTATTTCTTCCTGAATCTTAGTCTTGCCTTCTAAAATCACTTTTCCTTCTGCTTGAAATGTAGCCTAAGAAATTCTCATTTTAAGGGTCTTTTGTTGACAATCTATCTCAGTGTCTGCTTATTTGAAAAGAGTCTTTATTTCTTCCTCATTCTGGAAATATATATTGTCTCTCTCTAGATATAGAATTTTGAGATGGCAGTCATTTTCTTTCAGCATATCAAAGATAATCATTCTACTGTTTTCTGTCATCCATTATTGCAATCAAGAAATCATCAGTTAACATAACTGCTCTTCTCTTGTTGCTCATATTATTTTTCTTATTACATTTGCTTTTCTACAGTTTTACCATGATGCATAGAGATGTCAATTTCTTTTTATTTTTCTTGCCTAGATTATTGTGCTTCTTGAAATTGTTTATTACTGACATCAATATG